TAGCAGAAAAGCAAAATTTCACAGCCTCGTGCTGTTCCTCTTAAATTGGCCGTCACACCCAGAGTTTTGAGTGAAACTGCTTTTATGAAAAAATTCACTGTGGCCAGAAAGAACCTTCACAGGTGACTCCACTGGGTGCTCTAACTCACAGTTGCTAGATGCTCACCTAGAGGGAAAAATACATACTACAAAAGCTCTGCCCAGGGGAACTTTTTCCATTTGGCTTTTTTGGGGGGATAGCCCCTTGCATGCTTCCAACATCAGAAAATGTTGATACAGAGAGCAAACACTGACAAAATTGAAGGGAGAAATTGTTATCATGGTTAGCATTAAAGCTTTCAATGTGCCACGTTCATTGTTAGAACATTAAAGAGCAACAAGAGAACAAAGCTGAATGAAATGATACAACTAGATTTAACAGACATACACAGAGCACCTCACCCACAACAGCTTAATACACTTTCTACGCCAGAGAACATGATTCACCTCCAGAATAGATGACTTTAGGTACAAAACAAACCTTGATTAATTTTAAAAGATTGAAATCATTCAAAGTATTTTATCTGGCCATGCAGGATGGAAACTAGAAATCAATTAACTGGAAGAAAAAAAACTGGAACATATAGCAACATGGGAAAATTAAACATTATTAAACTACCACAGGGCCAAAGAGTGGGTAGAAAAGGTGAAAATAAGATTTGCCATCTACAGGTATACCTGAGCCTCTAGCAGGATAGGTTCCAGATTACCGCATTAAAGAGAATAGGGCAATAAAGTGGATGCTGATTCCCCCCCACTCCCATTGCATTAAAGAGAGTGGTGTGATAAAGTGAGTTGCGACTTCAAAAATTTTTTTAAACAATATGTCCTCCCCTTCCCAGTACTTATACATCTTCACACTGTCCTGGTGGTAGTGTGGGATATGTACTGGGCTAACCTTGAGGTCAGTAATTCAAACCCACCAGCCACTATCTAGAAGAAAACATTTCATCTCAGAAGCTCTATATGGTTCACTATAAATTAAAATCAACTCAATAGATGGACGTTTATGATAGTTTACTAAGTGTACAATAAAACCCAAAACCCACTGCCATCAAATCAACTGCAAGAGGAAACCTATCTCAAGTTTCCAAAGCTTTGAAAATCTTTTGGGGAGCAGATCACCTCCTTTCTCCAGTGGAGTGGCTGGTGGGTTTAAGAGAAAGACCAAAAAGTAAAGGGTTAGCCTATGATATTGACAAACGGCATCAGTTGACTCGCTTGATACAGTGTTGCTACAACTTTCAATATGTTTAAAAAATAAAAATCCAAGGGCTAATAGAGCAAAGCACAATAAAAGCAGGTATGCCTGTAATGACAACTGTCAGAAGCTTCATAATGGGTCTACATGGGCTCTTTTAGAACTCGTGGTGGTACAGTAGTTAAAGTCTCAACTGCTAGCCGTTGCCCCACAACACAAAGACTGGCCTTGGGCTTCTGTAGATATTTTATATGGAAAGCCCTTGGGGTAATTTTACTCTGTCCTGTACAGTCAGATCCACTTGATGGTAATGGTTTTGGTTTGGTTTAAAGAGGGTCTTTTACTGTCTTATGTTTATGCTTTTTTAATAATTAAAGGTTAAATATTTAAGCAATTCAATCTTTCACTGCAGTTCTGTTTGTAATCGAGCTTCTGGTTCTCTCAGCCATCAAGCAGCTGAATGGAAAAATAGTAACCACCAAGTTTTATCATGACCTCACTCTGAATTGGCTCTGTAGCCACAATTTCTCCCTTTCTCTTATGAGATGTATTTTTAAAACAATACAAAGAGAACCTATAAACCTATATAACAAATTCTGAGCTTAAATAAGCCTTTTCTTTAACTCTACAGCAAAAGAAAAATGGCTTAAATGAGCAGAGCTGCTCAACTAGAAAGGAACTACGGAACCTGCAGTCTTTGAGCAGTTTGCTGATAAAATTTACTATTTACCACAGGCTCTTGGATAAAGCACCTGAACATGACCTACAAAAGAGTTCTGAGATCTAAGTGTATGTACAAGCATTTTTCACTAGAGGACAAGTCCAAAAGTCTCAATTTCAAAAAGGGTCAGGAATCACTTTAGAGTTCTAGAAAACCCTTGTAAAGACTTTTGTTGATTTTCAAAAACTTCAGTTAAAACATACAGCATTATCAGCAACAAAACAATAAATTTTATGTCTAACAGTAAAAACAAAACAACAAAACCTTCAATTAAAAGCAAAAGGTTTCAAAAAATAAATAAGAAAAATAAAAGCGAAGGCTTTCTGCAAGTAAAGACAATGACACTCTGATCGACATAATACAAGAATCAAGCAAGACACAAGGGAAACGATAAATTTTCAGAGGGAGGGGCAAAAAGAGAACAGTCAATGCATATAAGCATTTCTAGAGAGCCAATTTATAAACTTGCAAACTTAGAAACCGTTTAAGGACTGCTAACTTGACAAAATAATAGTACCATAAATTATCAAGGGTTCTTGAGGGAGGGGGAATGAGGAGGGAGGGAGGAAAAAGAGGAGCTGATACCAAAAGCTCAAGTAGAAAGCAAATGTTTTGAGGATGACGGCAACAAATGTACAAATGTGCTTGACACAATGGATGTACGTATGGATTGAGATAAGCAATGTACGAGCCCCAATAAAAAGGTTAAAAAACTGCTAACTTGCATATTGTTAACTCACAACCTTAGAGTCAATTATGAGGCATAATAACTCTGTAGGACAGAACAGAACTGCCTCTGTGGATTTCCCAGACTGTAACTCTTTGCAAGAGTAAAGAGCCTCCTCGTTCTCCGAGAGGCTGGTGCTTTCAAACTGCTGATCTTGCCAGTAGAAGCTCAGCACATAGTTTCTTGTGTGTATTAGAACTATTGAGAAGTATTCTCTCTCAAAGTTCCTTCCGTATCCACTGCAGCTAAGTGGTTAAGTGAGAGGAGAAAAATGTATCTGGTTACACCATTCACTTCCAACTCAAGGTAATGTTCTTGAACATCTACTAGTCGGAATTTCAGTATACATTTTGAGTTCTCACAATCAGTTCAGAGTATGGGCTTCAGAATTAGATTTAGTTATATACATTAGACTAGGAAGCTGATTATCTCATTTCTACAGAAAATTGTTTCCAATTCTCTCCAGTCAACTTCAAATGGCAGTTTGGGAACATACAAAAATATCATCAGCAAAGTCACAAAAGCAATTGCTGTCTGTTGCTGGTAAGGGTCCTTGAGCCAACTCTAACTGGACTCAATTGTATAAGCATGCTTGAAAAAGTTCGTAGAAAAATGTAATTAAAAGACAACGGAATTTTTTCAAACTTTCTGGAGCCCCCTTATTTAACAGAAGGGAATCCTTCCCGGTGCTGCACCATCCTCACAATTGTTTCAGGCACTGTGTCAATTGCTGCCTATAAATATTTAATTTCCTAGGTTCCTGGAATCCCTTTAAACATTATTTAATCCTTATCAATACCCCCAGCTGTCAGAGCCTCTATCTTGATCACTTGACCAGCCTCGCTCATTTGCTCAGCCTCACCTTCTCCTAGCCTACCTTACGGGTGGACATTAACTATTAAGGGACCACTGAGAACAGAGTGCCAGTAAGAACATTTGATAAATGAAGTGAATAGCATTTGGCTGACACGCAGTAGGTATTCAATAAACGTGGTGTTGAAAAATCCATAAATGAATCATTTCGACCCACCACTATAGTCACTAACTTCTTTGCTGGTACTGTATGAAAAGAAGAGTTTAAAGGTCATTTCAGCACAATAATTCTATGTGCTGAATTTAGGGGCTGACCTGTGAAGACTTACATATTCTCAGTTTTTTAATGAAGATTTAACCTACCACTAACTTATAAAGTATGCTTCAGGAGAACTGTAGACAAAGCAGCAAGGACAGCTAAATGAGAATTAACCAAGAAGAGCAACAGAATGACAATAACAGCTGGCTTATCCTCTCATTCAAGGGTGAGACATTAAGAAAGGAGTGAAAAATGTTCAGCATTTTTATTAGAACTATGCAAGGTACAGTCTACCATGCTACTTAATCCACCTATATTAAGCTCCCCAAAGAACAAATCCCGCTGAAGAATTCTGTGTGGGACAAACTAAGTTTTGTATTTCCTTCAAATTACAAGATCTATATAAATTTTCCTATCACTAAAGTGTGACTATCAAGAACTTGAGAACTAAGCTTCGTTTGCCACTGCAATTGATGTCTTTGTCCTATTAATGGCGGTATTCTCTTCTTGTACATTCCATTTTAGTGCTTCAGTCTTTTAATTAATTGTGCCTTTATCATTTACTATTAAGTCTAAAGTCTCTTATATTTGAGTAGAAACATAGGTAACAAAATATACCGTTTTATGAAAGTACCAGATGGCAGCATATGAATTAACAGTTTAAAAACAAAACCGAAAAAAAAAGCCCAACAATGCCCCACCAGATTTATGGATTAAAACATAATATAAATTACTAGTACCCCCAAAGGATTCCATACCAATCTCAATTTGCAACACAGTTCAATTATTAGATAAATCCACTCGACACCACCTTAATCTTCCCGAACTAATTTTGGAGGGAAGTGTATCACTCCATTGTGAATGCTCATCTCATTCTCATAATCAATAATACCCTTCCAAACTCTCTAACGTAACGGAAATGAGACATGCAAACCTACTGTAGGAGTTGTTTCTAGTTGGAATTGGTGTTAGATTTAAAAATGACTGTTCCCAAAATGTACTCTTAAAAGTCTAGAGCATTAATATCCAAGTTATTTAAATGAAATTCCAACTCCCAATTGATTTCTTTATAAAATGGCAATATTCCCCAATGAAGGCAGAAAGAAAATCCAATCTGTATTAATATTTTAGGATTTCAGTCATTTAACTAAAATGGCTTGCCTGGAGAAAAAAAAAGGAGGGGTTGCCTGATGCTATACAGATCAGGATAAAGGAAATCAAAACTTACCTGAAGTTATTAATTTAGGACAGCTACTTTTGCTTGCGTCACCTTCTAAGACACGGTTTGTGCTCCTTTCTTTTCCAACAAGAGTATCCTCCAAAGGTATGCATTTATCAGATTCAACACTGTCTTCACCCACTGAATGACAAATTTTGCTATTAGCTTCAAGTACAGACGTGATGTCTTCCAGCTCAGCAGCTTCACTAGATTCTGAATATGAGGAACCCTTACCCTGGGCTAAATTTTTTGAAGAAACTGGTAGAGATTCATCATCACTATCAAATCCAAAAGGATCCCCAGCAGTATTTTCTTCTTCCACTTTAGGTTTCTTCGGGATTTCTTGGATATCTGGCTTGAAATTGGGCCTCTTCTGCCCTAATTTAGCCATAAATGTGGTCTCTCCCCATTTTGTGCTAAGGGTGGTCCGTTTGTTGGAAAAGACTTCATCAAATTTTGAACTGCCATTTCCTCCCTTCCTACTGTATGTTTTCCCAAATCTGGATGTCATTTTGACACCTGTTTCATATTCTCTGTAGGGAAAAAACACACACAAATATATACGTATATATATATATATATAAATACACACAAACACTATATAAAATTAAATATGTAACACTGAATATAAAAACAAGAATTTATAAAAGTGCCATCTTATTTTTTCAACATTCAAAATCAACTCAAAAAGTTTATTTAAAAGTCTACAATTATACCACCCTGAATGTGCCCTAATCTCAGAAGCTAAATAGGGATGGACCTGGTTAGTACTAATATGGGAAAAATGGATTAAAAAATGGAGGGCAAGAGGAAGGCTCATTTTTTTATTTCATATGTACTTTCCAAAGTAAAACAGCTTGACTACCAATTTCTAAAAGAGCATCCCCAAAATCAACTTACAGTGAAACATCTACATTATAAATGAACAATTTACTATGCATATATCATTTTTTACCTTTAAAAACTAATCTGAAAAGAATCAATACCTTAATATACTGGAAGATCTTAAATAGAACAAAATATTGATATTTTTTCTGCCTCTCGGAATGTCAAATAGTTGATGAAAATTAGGATTAAAAAAAAAAAAAATTCAGACCACTTACTCATTAACAGAGCCCTGGTGGCATAATGGACATGAATTAGGCTGCAATCCATAAAATCAGCAGTTCAATACCACCAGGGTCTCCCAGAAAGGCAGGGCTTACTACTCCCAGAAACAGTTAGTCTCTGAAACTCACAGGGGCGGTTAGTTCTACCCTGTCCTTAGAGTAGCTATGAGTCGGCATGGACTCCACAGCAATTGAGTTTATTCATATTAAAAAACAAGGTCAGAATGTGGTGCTTTCTTATGTATTACTGCCTGTATCTCTTAATGCAAACTTAAAGATTCTAATTCTTGGTCTAATGTAATTTTAACAGCTACTTGAAAATGATTCCTTAGATCAGCGGTTCTCAACCTGTGGGTCTCGACCCCTTTGGGGGTCGAACGACCCTTTCACAGGGGTAGCCCGATTCCTAACCGTAGCAAAATTACAATTATAAGTAGCAACGAAAATAATGTTATGGTTGGGGGTCACCACCACATGAGGAACTGTATGAAAGGGTCGCGGCATTAGGTAGGCTGAAGACCACTGCCTTAGATAGTCACATCCCAGCTCCTTGTCCCTAGAGTGCTGTCCTCATTTGCAGTTAAATTTTCTGGTAAATACCAGCACACTACAATGTTCCATGTAATATTAATCAAAGCAACAGAAACACATTATTTGTACTTTCCTATTAGCTTTATAAAGAAGAATCATCTAATTTACCTACATTAATAAGAAATTCTTTTTTTTTTTTAAAGTCCACTAACATCAAGTTGACTCCAGCTCCACGTGAAGTGACCCGAGCCCTAAAGGACAGAGTAGAACAGCACCATAGGGTTTCCACAGTCATGTCACGTTGTTCTTTCTCCTGTAGAGCGGCAGGTGGCTTTGAACTACCAACCTTTTTTTCCAGTTTGCAGTCCAACTCTTAACCCACTAAGCCAAGAGAAAATTGTCAGGGCAGTAAGAGTCAAATTTTATAAAAAGCATTATTTTAATGCTGTACTTCTTATCCATTATCCCAGACCTAGAGTTTAAATTCCACAATAACTTGGAGTAAAATGAACTGCTTCCAGGCTTAAAATTTTCCATTACTCTGAAACTTTCAACACAATTTCACTGACATTTGACCTATAGCTCCAAGTTTTGTAGCGACCCACTAGCCAACTTAGTTTTACATACACTCAATAGAAGAGTGTCCCCCCGCCCCCCCTCCTATGGTTAGTTAGAAACCAATTCTAACCTGGCAAAATAAGGATCTGGTCACCATACATATCTGTGTTCAAAGAAAATATCAATATAATTTGCATCTGAAAAATCTGTTAACGAGTCATAAAACTGCCTCCCTGGGGAAAACATTTTTCCCCTTGTATTACAGATTACACTAAGGAATTTTGTTTTCTCTTTGTTACTTACATCCTAAACAAAACTGTCCATACTGAGAAGCTACCATGGACAACTGTCATTTCCCTCTCAATTCCTTCAAGAAAGTAAAGCCCTAACCTGCAGACCTCCACTTACAGATACACTAACAGTGTCTGAGCGTTTTGGACACACATGGACAATGACCTGAAAATGCAAACTAAGGCCACGCCAAAAATTTCAACTTGAGCTTCTTCATGCCCAACAGCAGCAAAATGACATTGAAACAGTCTTAGGAAAACACATTCACTGTTGAAAATTTTAAATCTAGTCAGCTACTTTGTAGATAGGTATTTGATATTAAGGAGTTATTCTAAATAACAATATTTCGCCTACTTTTCAAGAAAGCAAGTCTTGTAAACGTCGGCTTTTTTTCTAATACTAAGGAGGGAGTGTGAAATTGAGACCTGCGCAGATAAAATCAAGTGCTAATGTGTAGAATCTAAGGAAGTGATGGATACAAGCGACTTCTATTTTTTGTTTCCTTTGTAGTTTTCCATAAATGCTCTTTTTCTTAAGTTAGCAGACTATTGCTGTGGCATTATCTAGGCGTCGGGAGTAAAATATGTATCAATTTATAGATTAGTGTAGAAGTTGCTAGACACTTTAAGCGGACCCCAAGCACAGAAAGAACACCTTGTTCGGGCTTCAAACTCGAAAGACTACCGTAACTGAAAAAGAAAAGAACTCAGAACTAAGTCTTTTCAGTTGACAGACTTTAGCCTTGACCCAAAGCAAGGTCGATTTATCAGAGAAATGAACGAGGACAGAAGCCCCACACACGTACGTCCTTTCCAAATCTACCGTCTTGTCCGCCTTAGGCCTTCGAAAGGGGCAGATCTAACCTCCCAGAAAGCCTCACCTGGAGGCTGACGGTGCGTAAGGAGGTAGTGGGAGAGGCGGCCCTCCCCCGGCTGGAAACTCCAGCAACTTTTCCCCTCCCCACCCCACCGCCTAGGAAAGGGATGTTGCTTCCAACGCCCCGGAAGCCTCTGCCGCCACCGGATCCCCAGGACAGTGTAAAGGCCTCAGTGCCGGTTAGAAGGGAGAGAAGCGCAGGGAAAGCATTGAAGGCCCTGATCAACATACTAGGCGCGGCTTAGGGAGCTAGATAAATCGGCAACTGCCCGGAAAGAACTCAGAAAAAGGGAAAGAGGGGCAGAAAAAGAAAAAAAAAAAAGAGTTCTGTAGGCTGTTCCCCTGCCCAACTTCCTCCGAGACTGGGTAGGTGAGGCAGGGAGACTTTCACCACCCCCGGCGTCCCCCACCCTGACTCGCGCCGGGCCTAGGCAGCCGCCCGAGACCTCACTTACCCTCGGCGCCTGGCGGGTGCTTTGGCCTCGGGCCGCCTCCGCCTCTCCCGCTCCCAACGGCCCACGGACGGGCGCGGGAGCCCCGCGCGGGAGAGCAGGGCCGGCTGGTGCGCCAAGCGAGGAAGGGGGATGAGGGAGCGAGGTCCGCCACCGTCCAAACCAGGGGCTCCGATTTCGGTAAATAGGAAACCGGAGGGGGCTGGGGGGTGGAGGCGGCGACCCCGCAACTTCCCTCCCCGCCTTGACCGCCGCCGGCCGGGCCCGGGACTAGGCCTCCTGGGCCGTCACCGCCGGAACCGGTACCGGAGCCCGCTACGTGCCCCCGCTGGGCCGCCGCCACCTCCTGCGCCGCCGCTTCCGCCGGTGAATGGTCAGCGCTGGAGTTTGAACAGGGCCCTGAACCATCTCAACGCCATTTGCGCTCCCGGCCCCCACCTCCTTCCTCCAACAGCCGCTCGCTCCGTCACTCCGCTTCCCACAGGCCCCGCGCGGCCGTCCGACCCCGCAGCCAATCGCGCGGCCGTTTACTCAAATCGCCGCGCAGGCGCCGCGTCACGCATGCTCCGGGGCCCGCCATTGGCTCGGGCGCTGGGCCCGACGGGAGTCGTAGTCCGAGTCCGCCAAACCCCGCGGTTGAGTCCCGAACGAGAGTGGGCAGCGGGTGGAGTGGTCGCTGTTGGCCTGGCCCACCCGAGATGGGGATCGAGGTCCCGCTCCAGCCCCGCTGGGAGAAGCAGGTGCCGCGAGGGAGAGCCGGGGACGCAGTGCAGGCAGCTGTGTCAATCGTTTCCCCTCCAGGGACTCGCCGGTGTCTGGGGACAGTGGGTTATGCAGCTGCGCCGGGCCTGCTGGGGCCACCGCTTGGGAAAGGGGAGGCCGGGAACTCACGGCTCCGAGCCGCCTTCGACCTGGCCTTCCTTGCGGGTCAGGGCCGGGCGCAGGTAACGACAGTGCGGCGGGGGGACGGGAAGGCTGAGGCTTGGGCACACGACGGCCACCGGTTCTAGCCTCCATACCCTCATAATTTATTCCATCAGTCCCACTCCCCTGCAAAGATGGCCCCGTGATTATTGCATTGTAACGGTTATTAAGGGACCCTCATTTTAACCTTATTGGGGGTGATCATGGTTATGTGAGATTTTTTGTGTGTGTGTGTTTTCTATTTAAATTCACATACTAAACATTTGATGGATAAATTAATGCGGTGTCTGAATTTATTTTTCAAATACTCCTGTACAAAAACTGGGGAAAGGAATAAAACAAGAACGCGAGATGCCTTTCATTGTTGAAACGGAGTGGTGCGTCACACATGGACAGACACCTTACAAAAATCTAACTGTATGTCTGATATTTTCCATAATAAAAAGTTAAAGCAATAAACCAATGATTGCCTCTGGGGAGATGGGGGTGATGAAAGGAAGGAAGATTTCTTTTTTTGGGTGTGCATTTTTTGTTGCTGTTTGAGGTTTTTTTCCGTGTCAGGATATTACTTATTCAGAAAATTGGAAAGTTATTTTTAAAAGGCCGCAGTGGGAGCACTTCGTTCCAGAGAGTAGCACAGCCGGTTCCGCCTAATAGAAGTGCATGACTCATCAAACTGGGGTGTTCCTTTTGTTTAGTGGCAACCCACCTGGGATATTAGGAAAATACTACTGTAATTGCTTTCCGTGAAAAGCCCACCCTTCTTCCCCGAGTAGATAATTTTATTAGCATGTACCTGAATTGCACCCAGCTCCCTCCAATATATTGGGGGAAATTCTGAGTTAAAAAAAAAAAAAAGCAATTTACAACTCCTACTGCTCTCCCCAATATGAATGTAAGGCGGATTTTAACATCTTTTAGTTGATTTTACTTTGGTGCGATGACTTGCAAAATTCATTTACAATGTCCTCTAGGACTGTAGCAGTACTTCCTCTGTTTTTAAAAGCAAATTCTTCTGTAGCTTATGTGAGTAAATCTTAAGTGTGTATTCCACTGAGGGTGGCGCCCTTATGACTTTCATTTGGATCCATTTTGTGTGTTTTTAAGAGATCTTGCTCTAGCAGTTTGTGTGAGGATTGCGGGCAGAGGTGCAGGCTACCCTTATAATTATCCATATGACCCTTGTGGTTATTAGGTGCCATTGAGTCGGTTCCACTCAGCAACCCGAAGTACAACAGAGGGAAACACTGCCTGGTCCTGCACCACCCTCAAGATGATCTTCCCTATGTGGATGACAAGGTAGAAGGTGCTAATTAGGGGGTAATTATCATCAGAAGCAACAACCAAGATCAAAAAGCTCACAGTGGCCGAAGAGACAACTGGCAAGGTTTTCTTGTAAGCGAGTCCTGTGAACCATGACACCAAAAGATATATTCATTATACCCTGGCAAGTACACTGCAATGGAAGAATTTGTTTTTTAATGAAAAGTCTTTGGAATGCATGTTACCCTACCAACCAAGTAACTCCTACTCTTACTTTGGGGAGAGTCCTAGCATAGCTCTGTGCAATGTACAGTTCCAGCAAAACTTTTTGTTGGGTGGTTGTGTTAGTAAAAGAACTTGGGTCCTGTTAAATTCTACTTGCTACGCACATAGTGGTCCTTGGTCAACAGCAGAGGCAAAACCCGGTAGCTTGTTGGAAATACAGATTTTCTGCCCCAGTCCAACTCCACTGGATCAAAATCTGCACTTTACAGGATTCCCCCAAGTGAACAGTTCTCACATTGAATTTGAACAAGCGGTGACTTGATATATGCCCATAGTAAATCTATCTTGAAGGAAGTCACAGCTAGAATGCTCCCTAGAAGCGAGATGGCGAAACTTGGAGTCTCACATCCTTTGGACACATTATCAAGAAAAACCAGTCCCTGAAAAGGACATCATTCTAGAAAGAGAGCAAGCCCCTTAAGTAGATGAATTGGCACAGCAGCTACAGGCATGGGCCCAAACAACAAGCATTGAGGATGGCACAAGACGGGGCAACGTTACCTTTTGTTGTACATAGTGTCTGTGAGTCTGGGCCAACTGGACAGTACCTAGTAACGACAACATGGCACTTGACTACATTTTGTTTAACATAAAGGGAGGGCAAGGATGCACGTTAAGAACCTGCTATGCTTCTGTTGTGGTACTGGCAGTTGGGAGCCTTCCACCAAGGTCTTAGTAGTGGAGGAATGGCAGGATTGGTGTTTACTGAAAGCACTGCAAGTAATAAAGGCAGCAAATATACCAAGCATTAGCTATTCATTACGTCTAGATATGCTTCACTGTGGTAGAAAGTGGTAATTTCTAAAGTTAAACACTGCATGTGTGTATCTAGCTTCTTGGTAAGAGCTGTCTAGTCGGTTCTGACCTTAACAACCATTGCGGTTCTGTTTGCGGGCATTGTTGCAGTTACCATGCCAAACCATCTTATTGGGGGTCTTCCTCCTCCTGCTGGCCCTCAACTTAGCAGCTGAACACTGCACAGAGCTATGCTAGGACTCTCCCCACACCACAGGAAGGTGGGAAGCCTGCCCACTCTAGGGCGTCTCCTTGAGGGAAGTTCAGACTCTCCTAGACTTTCAGTCTCTGCCTCCATCTTGGCCTCTGGAGGACTTCCTTTGAGCGGTTGGGGAATGTTATTACCCTTAACGTTCTGATTCCACTGAGGTAGGCAAATGCTCCTGGAGGCCTCACTCCATTCATTTTAGCCTTGAGTTCCACACCAGGGTGAGCTGTGTTGGTTGCTCTTTCAGTTCCTGACTAGCACCCCCCTCGCTCCCACCCTCTATGCACGCTCTGGTATCCTTGGATAGTGCAAAAGGTTAACATTTGTTAACCAGAAAACTGGTGGTGTTCTTTTTTTTTTTTTTTTTTTTTTTTGTTCTTTTTAATTAGTCTCTTTATTGGGGGACTCTTACGAATCTTAAAACAATCCATCATTCAATAGTGTTGAGCACACTTGTACAAATATGTTACCATCAAGACATCCAAAACATTTTCTTTCTACTTGAGCCCTTGGTATCAGCTCCTCTTTTACTCCCCTCCCTCCCCCACTCTCACACCATCGTGAATCCTTGATCAGTTATATATTATTATTATTGTTATTCCGTGTTGTACGCTGTCCGTGGTCCCCCTCACTGGTGGTTTTCTTGAAGCACTTGGAAGAAAGGCCTGGCCATCTATAGCCATAAAGTCAGCCATTAAAACCTTAGGGAGCACAGTTCTACTCTGACACTCCGGGGTCACCATGAGTTGGAGTTGATGGCCACTTTTTGTTGTTGTTTTATAACATTCTCTAATTTTTCCAAATGTCATATTTTTGCCCCAAACAAAATATTGAGCTGAGCCCAGTGGTTTGTACCCTTGGATGCTTCAGGATGCCCACCTGTGTGACCTGGAAGAGAGCAGTACCCATTACATTGAGCTTTACACGAGCGAGCTCAACTTTCTGTAGCTGATAATTCTAAGAAAAACCGTTCTGCCACTGTTGTGCCCCTCGGTTTAGCAAGGCCTGGGAGTTGTCGGAAGGGGAATTGCTACGAAGGCCTTTTCTGCTATTATATAGTGCAGTGCATTCAGAGGATCTGAAGTCAGAGAGTACCATATTGGCTACAGCATATTTTCCCTTGTGGTAAGATATGGAATAAAGTTATTAATTGTATAATTGCTCATTGCAGTGGGTGTACAGGAACTCTGGTGGCAGAGTGATCTCTGCTCTGAGCTGCTAACAGTGATTCAAACTTAGCAGTTGCTCAATTGAGAGCGAGAGCCAATGAGGCTGCTTTTACTTCTGTAAAGATTTGTCTTGGAAACCCAAGGGGGCAGTTCTGTTCTGTCCTATAGAGTGACTATGCATTGAAATGGACTCAGTGGCAGTAAGTTCAGTTTTTGTTTGTTTTTTTGTGTGAGTGGTTGTGTGACAAAGCCCTGCACCGCACTATCACCTTACTGTTGAAAAAAATTGCCAGACAGGTTCAATGGGGCTTCAAGAGGTTCATGGAGAAATTCCATTATCTTTGCATTCCATTTTTCTAACATGTTTGGAAGCCACCGTGTCTGCTCCCACTTTGGGGCCTTTGCATTTGTTACTCCCTCTTCCTCCAGTGACCTCACCCCTGTCAGGTCTTTGATTGTGGGGGGGAGGTCAGACTGCTGCCTCCACCCACCACTGGGGTGGGCTTGCTCCCTGCTGCTGGGGACAATGGACAGGCTCCTGTAGGTGGAGTTCATACCCTACCAATTATGGTCTCTATCAGTTGAGCCAGGAACAAGTCAAACCGGTTCTGTGACATCCAAAATTAAGCTGCCATCCTAATTCTAGGATCCGCCCATCTTGTCACATGTATACCCCCAATCCCTCCTCTTCCTATTGCTTGTATGTCCCTAAACCACCCCCTCTCATTGCTGTACTACCTATAGTGCAACCCCTTCCTGTAACATATGTCCTTACCTATAATTAGTGGGCTTGCAT